GATTTAAACATATGAACTTCTGCCTCATTGAAATCCTTAAATCTGCCCTTTCAGTAAATTATGTAAGCAGAGTCAGGATGAGCTCTACCCTGACATCTGGTGGTGAATTATGGCGAGTGTGGAAAAGAACTCCAGGGGCTGATCTTGTTTGCATAGGCACACCCACTCGCCTGGCATGAAACAACAGCAACTCAAAGTGGTTACTTTGGCTGGTGTGGGATCAGTTTTCTCTGTTATTGGGGCAGGAAGAATAAAGTTTTGTTACTCTGATTCTGTGAATCAAGACCAGTGAAACTGTTGTATGACAGAAGGATTGAGTGAGTCCTTCACCATTACCTAAGTAGCACTTGCTTGTCAAGGGGCGTGGGTTACAAAACCCAGTGAATAGAGAAAGCAAGCAAGCAAGCGAGCGAGCGTGCTTGATGGTTTGGGCCCTTCTCTGAGGGGTTGAAACATCAATTGTACTACCTCCTCTCTCCACTGTTGAATATCAGAGCTAACTTTGATTCCATTAGAAGTCTAGTTACAGACTGCTGAGCTGAATTCACTTTGGGCCAATGGTGCACTAGCACTGGGGCTCCCCTACTATGAGCTGAAATTGCTAAGAGCTGAAATCACAAAAGAGCTAAAGTTATTAAGAGCTGAGATCACTGAGGCTGTGTTAACTAGTGGGGGAGCCTGAAGCTATATTGCTAAGCAGCTGGCGGAGCAGCTAGCAGAGTGGAGCCTTGCGGGGACGGTTGGAGTGGAGCTGAGTGACTCACAGGTCACGGAGCGGAGTGGCTGGAGGAGCAGCGAGCAGAGCGGAGCCTTGTGGGAACGGCCCAAGAGATGGCTGAAGTGGAGCAGAGCTGAGCGGCTCACAGGTCGGTGAGCAGAGTGGAGCAGCTGCCAGAGCAGTTCGTGGGACGGCAGGAGCAGCTCACGGGGCAGCTGGGGGAGTGGAGCGGCTCGTGGTGAAGGCTGCAGCAGAACCCCGTCGGCCTCGGATCACGTAAGGTGCCCCTTAACACCCTGCGTGCCCCCCACCCTGAACTCTGAGGCTGCACTGACCAGGGACAGAGACTTTGGGGGGTTGTTGGACTTTTGGGACTTTGGTGATCCTTGGGTTGCTGGTTTCAAGAACCCAAGGGCAAGGACACAGCCCAACTTGTTGGGGTGGGTTTTTTTGCTCATGGTTTGTGTTATGAATCCTGTTTGTGGTGTTTTTCCAATTTAATGCTGATGTCGTTTAGCTCATGTTATTAAACATTTTCTGCTACACTCAGACTCCGTACTTGCGAGAGGGGAAGTATTGCCTCTTAGAGGCACCCAGGGGGTGGTATGTAGTTGTCCCAGGTCACTCAGTGGGGGCTCGAGCCGGTTTTGCATTGCGTTATTGAAACGGAACCCCTAGATACAGAACCCGGCCCTTGTTGCTGCCAACTTAGATGGGCAGAAGGGTTACATTTAAAAGGGAAGACATCAGAATGTAGGAACAGGAAGAGCCTGCCCTGACCAATGTGGCTCAGGCGAATGTCTGAGCTGTTCAATAAGAGAGGATGTATTACTAAAGAACATGTGTTTGGAACCATGTGCTTACCGCACGCAGCCCGCTGTCTCCATGGCTCAATGGCAATGCTGCGACTTTGACACTGCTGGGCATAACTGCGAAGCACTTCACACAGGGTCTTATGGCTGCCCCGAGTCGCGCACACATCCCTCACGCAGCTCTCTAAGTGAACCTGCGCAGCAACCGGCTGGTTACACTCTTTAAAAGGCCCAGTAGTATCCGTGATAACCCCGCAGTAGCGCTCAGATTTGTACTGGGCTAGTTCCACTTTGTTACATTGGGCTGGGAGCCCAACGGCCGTGCAGTGAAAAGGGGAGTTGGCATCCTTCCAGCTATTGCCAAAGGTGACGGCATCATGGACCACAGAACCATTTGGGGTTCGAAAATCATCACTCCGGTTCCCATTGAAGTCCCCACCGAGTCCACAGAGGAACCCAGAATAGGCCTCAGAAACAGAAACCAGCACATAGTAGGACCAGTCGTAGGACACAGAAAGGCCAAAATCCGTCTGAACCACAGCCGATGAGCCGCTGAAATAGGCGTAGAGTTTACCTGATGCAAGGACCAGGGGAAGATTGACCAGGGATCCATTCACCTAAGGGGAAAGCGAGACATGAAGAAATCTTTAAGAACAGGATGCTTGTCTGGCATGGGAAAATCAGGATTCCCCCTGTGATGAGGATTCCATCGCAGGCATGTAGAAGTCTTTACGCTATCTTCCCCCACCTCAGGGGCAGGGAGGGCCATGACCATGGTTGGAGAAGCGGGAAAAGCCAGAGAATACCACATTCCAGCTTGTACTTGACTGGTATAGCATCCCTTCAAGACAGCTGCGTCCACTCTGGTTTAGAGCAGCCTTGTGGCTCTTGCCCAGGTACTTATTGGGAAAAAAGCAAAATGTACGAGAAGTCATGGAAATTGTCTCACCTGCACCTGGCCATACTGTCCTTCTGCTATGGCAATATGCTCACCGTAGACCTCGAGCTCTACCAGGTGCGTCCAGGACACTACGATGGAGCCCCTGTGCACATTCTCTACTTTGATGGTGAAGTCGGGGAGTTTCCCAGGGGGGACCACAATACTTGCTCAGGGTGTACTTGCAGGCTCCTTGATAATCAAACATGACTCCATCGAATGTGGTGTAGTGAGGATGACCAAACACCCAGCAGGTGCCATATTTCACAGGGTAACAGCCTCGGATGCCATCCGCAACGCTGCATGTCTCCAGAGCCCCACAGGCATGATCCTGGCACTGCATGGGCTGGGCAGGCTGCCGGCAGCTGCATTTCCTGCTGCAGGTGTCTGTCAGGATCACCTCCTCTCCCAGCTGGTGATACTGACCATTCAACATGCAGCCGCACTGTCTCAGGGACACACACACTGCTCCGCTGAGAATGTAGCCTTTGTTGCAAACACAACCCTCTCTGCAAGGCTGGGTGCAGTACAGGGGGGCAGTGGAATCCATGCAGCTGGCAGGACAGGCAGTGGCACAGGGTTCATAATGGCTGTTCTCTGGACAAGTGATCCCTACAATCACAGGAAGGTAGGAAGGAGGAAATTGTTAGCACATGCTGAATCATATAAATGAACCAATGTTTGAGCACCTGCAACTCCCACTGAAGTCAGTTGAAGGGTTGGGCCTATTAGCTTTAACACAGAGAGCAGTCTAGACCGGGGCAGAACAGAGGGAGACCCTATTTATTGATAGGAAGTGCCACAGTTTGCATTAGTTAGTCTGGGAGTTAGGCAGGTAGGGAGAACTACTGGGTTTCAGTTTATTCAACTGCCTACATAAAGTTGCCTCTGCCAATGCCAAAGATTATAGTATCTCTTCTGTACCTTGCAGGAGCAATACATCATCTGGATTTCACACATCACTGCTGTCACAGAGTGTGGGGGACACAAGGCCCTGCACCCCCAGCTTCCTGCGATTCACCATGACTCTCAGCCAGTCA